CCCCAAAACCCCAAAACCCCAAAACCCCAAAACCCCTACTTGCCCAATGTTCGTTGCAACAGTCATATAATCTTAAAATTAAACAGATAAATAAATTAAAAATGAGTGAATTCACCAGGATCGCTTCTTTAAATGTCCATGATCCCTCTAATAGCGGCTTAAAGAAGATCCTCAACACTACTAATAAGTTAAATGAAGAAAAAGTGTGAAAACTATCCTCAGAAAATAAAGTTCACCACTTAAATTCTCACTGTAAGGACATGAATAGCGATCTCAGCATCAAAAATATCTCAAAAAATAATACTAAATCCCACTTCTACAATGAAAAGAAGTCAGTGTCTGATGAAAAAGGGCTAATGAGCCAACAGAACTTCGTTATAGAAAAGAGAGTTGCTAAAATAACCAAACTAAGGACCTCCTCACGAAGCTCCTCTGCTGTGAAAGTGAAAAAGATCAACCAGTCTATAGGAGGACCGAAAGGGACTAATCTAAAGTTCAAAAACTTGTTGGCACCCACTAACGACTTGATTAACACCTTACTCTACAAGAACAAGGATGAAAGATATAGATACCTCATAAAATAATGCGAAGGTTCACTACATCGAAAAAGGAACTGAGTCGATATACGTTGAATTACCCCAGATTCCTAATATCCTCATTATCTACAGAAAGCCTGAAGTGAGGCTCAAGTCCAAGCATGCTCTGAATCTTGATGATAAAGGGCTCAACCACATCCCTCTCCTCGAAGGTGAGGAGAAGTTGGTGAAGCTGGTACTAAAGAGGAACAAAATTTGAAAGATTGAAAACTTGGTGTCTCTCCCTTTCCTTGAAACTCTTGACTTAAGTAAGCTCCTAGCCTGTTAATCTCTTATTTTAGGTGGGAATATCATCAAAGAGCTTTCGAATCTTAATACATGTGAGAGGTTAAGATCCCTTTGCTTACGAAACAACATAATTGATTCAATACAGGGCCTTAGCTTGCTGAAATCTCTCGAAGTCATTGATCTGTCTAGTAATAAGATCAAGAAAATTGAAAAATTAGAGAAATGATTGAACTTAGTTAAAATTAACCTCAGCTACAACTTCATAACCACAATCGAAGGGCTTAGCAACCTGTCATTGCTGGAGGACCTTGATTTATCAAATAACAAAATCACAACAGTGAAGGACACAAGAGGGTTGATTTCCATTAAGAAGATCAACCTCGCCAACAATCTTATAGATTCAGACCTTGACAGAATCAAGAACTTAGACCGAGTCCAAGAGTTCAACATTGAGAACAACCCAGCCAGCCGCAAATCAGAGTTCATGAAATACGTTAAGCGAGAGATGCCAAAACTCGTGATCTTTAACAACAAATAAAACCTTTGGGTCAAGAGATACAAGTGGTAAGAACTCTGGGTTAAGCTCTGTAGATAAATCATTTGACCTCTTCGCTAAGCCAGACCTCCCTGCACACTCAAAATCGAAGAAAGAAGGAGCTACCAACGTCATTCAGATCATCAGGAAGGAATGGCAAAGAGAGCTAGACCGGCTCAAAAGAAATCATCGAAGCTTTGAAGAAGGTAAAGGAAAAACATCTACTGACAAGTGCCTCGTACAATCAGGCCATGCTGAGATAGAGGGGAACAAGATGCTCTTTATCTATGGTAACGCAATGGAGGTCCTGAAGAGTACAGAGTTTTACCCAGTGGTTGAGGAAATATACCTTGAATGAGTGAGGTTTGATCACATTGTGCATTATTCACATCTTGAGAAGATTAAGCAGTTCAGTTGTCTTAAAAAGCTTCGTCTTGCACACAATAATTTAAACTCTTTAATTCTTATGTCGAAGTTAGAGTGCTTGCATACTCTTGAAAACTTAGAGATTGAAGATAACGAAATTCTGAACAGCAAAGTCACCAAAAGCTTTATAGTATACCGTTTTCAACATCTAAAATATTATAATTCATGCAAAATCACTCCCGAAGATCGAGAGGATGCTAAAAAGAACTTCCATCTCTTTGATAATATTCTTTCCAAATGTATAAGGAGGTATTTTTGCATATAATTTCTTTAGAGCCACCCCTTCCTTTTCAGACCCAACCAAAAAGCTTGAGTTCAAGCAGATTCAAAAGAGACATGCTGAAGTTGCCAAAGAGTACACTGAAGATATCCTTGAGAGAGTAGTCAGTGTGCATGACAAAAAAGAGGAAATTGAAGACCAGTGTGAATACACCCTCTATCGCTCAATCTCTAACGCAATTGAGCAAGACAACATCATTGTATAATCAGATATATTTCAATAATAGTCAGCCAAGTGGGGTTTTGGGGTTTTGGGGTTTTGGGGTTTTGGGG